GAACACGAGTACACTTTTTTATTTTTGAAAGGGAGATATTTCAAAGAGAGAGATGGAGTTTGGGTTTTAGAGAGAGATGGAGTTTTAAAGAGAAAGAAAGAGGGACTTTTGAGAAAGAGATAGATGGATTTTGCATTTTAGAGAGAGATGGAGTTTTGAGAGATAGTGACGTGTATGTGAGAGAGAGAGAGAGAGTAATTTCATAAGTTGTTGTGGTTAATAATACATGACCAAAAGGGTTTAGGGGGTTAAAAAATAGAAAAAATTGAGTCTATTTGCTTACAAGTAATACTTTAAATTATTGAGTTTGATGAGATATAAAAGTTAAAAATAGAGAATAATAGGATATTTTCTCATAATAAAAACTTAGCACTTCTTGGAGTTAAAATGTAAAAAGAGGGAAAACGCATATTCTATGTGAGGACCGTTTGGGAAAAGTTATTGGGGGAGCGTGATATATTGAATTGAAAATAAGGGAAGAAAATCAATTCTTTCTTGTGGTGGCGTTAGGGAAGGAAGAGGTTGGAAACCTCGGATCGGATTGAAGCCTTGTTTTGTTGTGTTGGGGCGGTCTAAAGTTGGCATTGAACATGTCTCCATAAGACGGTTGCATTGAACATGTCTCCATAAGACGGTTCGAGGTTGACATTTTCATATTGTATTTGATACTTTGTGTTGGTCGTTTTTCAGTAGTCCGAAGTTGGTATCATTGATTTGCATTGAACATGACTTCACATCCCTACTTTATAAAGGAAAAACTAAAAACAAAAATAATTAACAATTCTAGAGTCCTCGGACCGATCGATAATTGAGAATAAATAAAAAATAAGCTTTTGGCTTACCCTTAGTTTTGACCCAAAAGTAACCCATTTTGCATTTTATGTACTTTATTTGTGTCCCTATATAAATTGTTTTTATTTCTTTTCGTCCTGATACCTATAATTCCTAAAAAAGGATGTTTGGCAGTAAAGTGTCATGTTAGGTATTTTATTTATTTATTTGTTTATTGAACGGTGACATACGAACTAATCATTAATTCATATGCGGAATTTAGTACTTTAGGTGTACCTAAATTGCTCTTGTTTCTTTTCCCAAGGACCTGGAATATTTGGCACTAGCCTATAAAGTTCAAGTTCTCTCCAACTTGCATCTCTTTTTCATGAATTATCTTCGGTAACCTCGCATCATGGGTGAAGGTAATTGCAATAATTGGGTCGGGTCCACCTGTGACCTAACTTGAGTCTCGGTTGGTTTTAGTCCCAATTGACTAGGTTATATTAGATTTAGGTCGGAGTTAGGATCTAAGGCTAGCAGTGGGCTAATCTGCCCTACCCTGAAAGGCTACGTGTGCCACAAAATGTGACTCGAGTAGGCGAGTATAGCCTAAACCACTAGGGCTCGACTGTTGATCAGAGCGGGCATGGGATTAAGCTTGGAACTTAGCATGGGCGTCTAGCCTTGTTTTTGGATTTATTTTCCTTTTCCTTTCACTTTTGAATCACTTGGTCCCGGCCAGGCCAGAACAGAGTTAGGAGCCCTTAGGCCCTATAGGGACCCAAGCCAGGTTTGGGTCAAGGATGTCCTAGCCCAGGTCCAATCTGATCCAGTTTCGAAAGCAACTTGACTGGGTTAAGTTTATAAACCTCTCTCCTTGTTGGGCACACTTATGGTCTTGTGGATTGGGGAATCTTTCCTCTCACTTCATTCTAAGGGGTTAGTCATGATATTCTCACTAAATCTAAAATTGTAGACCGTTGGATAAACATGATTGATCTGGACCATCGATGCTTGCTTGTCCTAAAGGCACGTGTGGCCTAATTTCTGTCTCCTAACTACTTTGCATTGTTGGCTTCCACACGGAAGGCGTGCACGGCTGGGAATTTGAGCTGTAAAATACAGAAAGGATTCCCTTGTTCACTAATTAACCTTTGAAGGTTTCGAAATAACCAGATTGTCCCTATATTTTAGAACATTCTCCTCAATTTTTTGCTTTAAAGTCTAAAATTAAATAAATATTCCAAGTGTTTTAAGGCTTTTAACTTTAATATTCACGATTATTAATATTCATGTCTAATATTAATATGTATGTAAAATATCTCTCCCTCGCTCTCTTTGTATGTGTGGTGCGCGTGCGTGTGTATAACCGGTGTTTAAAAAATCAAAATCAAGCTCAACTTGACAGACATGTAATTCTAATCCAATAGGTTTAACTTGACGATTCTCGAGTCGAACCAGACATAACAAGAAAGAAACCTTAGAGTCTTGGGAATCACTAGCTTCTATATTTCGATTCAAGTGAGCCAATTCTAAGTTGGATTAGCAATAAGAAACAAGTACATATAAGGTTGCAACCTTATTCTTTTGAAGTAAGTTGCACCTCAAAAATCCTACATACAAAAGAGAGTGTCAAGGAGTTGGAGGACCCTAAAATTGATCATCTCAACCTTACGATATATTGACATGATGGGAAAAAATGAATTTTAAATAAAAAATAATGCATCTTGTAACAAGTTGTATGGACAATGTATTTTCAAAGTTTTAAGTGTTTATTAATATGCTCTATTTGTACCATTTTCAAATTTTAAATTTTATAACGAAGGATGAAAATAGATTTTTAAGCTATCAGAAGATTTTCAACTCGAAAACAACATCTCTAAACAAATTTTAGAGGTGGGTCTTACTTGCACAGTATAAAGAGCCATCCTTATTCAAACATTCCTTTTTCAAACACTTGTGTGGATAATATATATGTCTCACTCTTCTATTTTTTCCCTCCCATAACACCCAAGACATTTCTCAACATAAATGGTCGCTCTCTCTATATATCTTTGACATTCTTTCTAGTCACTAAGTGATGGGATTCAAACCCTTAATGTTAGGCTTGACTCTTTTATATCTCTCCCTTTATTTTTCTTTAAATATTTTCATATATTTAAAATCATTCGTAGAACAAAAAAAAGCATGGTGATTTTTTCTACATCTGAATACATTTTCCTACATCTATATACGTACAAATGTAAATGTCTATACAATGAATATGCCTCGAACCGCTCAACCGCTTAATCTTGATCGGATAGTTGTGAGTAACTTAACAATATTATTACACTCTACTTGATACCTAATAAGAATGATAATATCTATGATTGGTTTAGATGTACTTGACAAAGAGTCAAATATTGATGAGTGTTTTCTTTTGCTTAATCACGTTATGCATAAAAAATATAACTAATATAATTATTTTGAGTAGGATCTCGATTTGAATACTCTATATATACTTTTCAGATCCAGATCTAGTTTTAAATGTTTTGCATTCTATCGGTTCTTAATCCATATCCGAATGTCATGTATACTTTTCAAATCTGAATCCAAATCTCGATAGATTCGAATATGATCCAACCTATTCTCAACCCTACCAAAGAAGCCGTGGCTCAGGCCCGTTCTAGCTCTCTTAGAGCTAGGCTAAAATTTGTCTTAAAAAAATAACAAATTAAAAAAAATAAAGATCGGGCGGGGCCACCTGGCCAAACTTACCAAAATCAACAAAAGTTTGTGTGCCCCAAAACATATAGAACCCAAAATCCACTGAAATTGTCCAAATCCAAATACCTTTAAATGCAAATAGCCATATTCACAAATATGAGCACAACACGCCAAAAGGCAAATATCCATAACCAGATATCAGAGCACAACAGTGGCTTTTTTCGAAAGAGACATGCTCTCACTCAACTACATCCCTGCAATCATAGAGCTACTGGTCCTCTTTTTCCAGATTTGGTGAACAGGGCATCTTAACCAATGGCTTTTTTTCTATTTTTTTTTTTAAGATAAATAACAGAGATATCTATAGATAAGCTTTCATTGGTTGGTATTTTAGTTCATTGGAAATATCGCTATATTTGTTTTTTTTTCACTTAATTATGCTGGGGGTTTGTATTTTGTTATTCCCACCCAAAATATAATTAATATAATTATTTTGAATGGGATTAGCAGAACCAAGCGACCCTTTTTGTATAATTTTGTTTATGCTCCCCGGGAGCATCTATACTCTTACTCCCTCGGGTAGAAGATTGACCGGAAAAGAGTTTTTGGTATGAAATTTTAGGAACCATTTAAAATTATTAGATGATTACATTAAAAAATATATATTTTATTTCTAACATATATTACACTTTAAAATTTGGATATTTTCTATTCAATATCAAAGCATTATTTTCTTTTAGAATGTAATTTGGATTTTTTTTTATTATTGAATTTCGTAGTTCAAAAGGCTTTAGAAATCTTTATGATAGCCTTAAAATATATTTTCATCTCTAATTATAAAATTTCAAGCTTAAAAATGGTATAGATCTAGTAGATCTATATAAACTTGAAAATCTTGAAAATTGGCTGTCCAAAAATACATTACAACATGCACTATTTCTAAAACTTGAAATCCATTTTTTTCTCATGTCTATACATATTGAGGATCAAAACAACCTCTTATAGTAAAATTTTTGAGATGCACTCTAATTTGATTGTTTAGAGCCTCAACTCTATATAAAATTTTTATTTTTATATTTAACAGCTAAAAATAATTGTGATATCGTTGTTTTAAAGATGAATGGTCATGTAGTATTTAATCCCCTAACAAAAAAAAAAAACATCCCCTTTTCATTGTTTTTTTGTCCACTTATTCCAATCTCAAACTTCGGTAAATTTTGTGAAACTTTCGGCAGGTATTCAGTGTTGTCCAAAATATCAGCGTGTTTCACGAAATTTCGCGGGAAGCCAAAAGCAAAATTTGAATTATCTTTTTTTTTTTTCCTCACATATTCTTTTCTTTAACCTCGTAATTTCAAAAACTTTAAAAATTGCATATTCATTTTGCTCCTTCAAGGATGATACGGTTATTTTCTCTAAAATTTCAGTGGTAAAATAGTCATTCAGGGCAAGTAGAAGCACGGTGAAAATTTTAGGGGCCTATTTAAAGGATCATGAGCCCCAATAAAACCAGTGACAAATTAACTGGTGTCTCTCTCTGGCGTGGGAAACGAGTTCTAGAGAGAGAGAGAGCTATGGCGATGGATATGCAGGCCATGGCCGCTTCAATAGGCGTCTCAGTTCCCGTTCTTAGATTTCTCCTCTGCTTTGTGGCCACCATACCAGTCAGCTGGCTATGGAGATTTGTACCAGGAAGGCTTCCAAAGCATCTCTACTCTGCTTTAACAGGAGCTCTCTTATCGTATCTCTCCTTCGGTTTTTCTTCGAATCTCCACTTCCTCATTCCCATGTCTCTAGGTTATCTCTCCATGCTCGTTTACAGGCCACTCTGTGGCCCATTCACCTTCATTGCAGGCTTTGGCTACCTGATTGGATGGTGCGTTTTGGAAAACCTCTGAATTTCTGAGTTTTTGGCGATCAATTTGAAGAATTGGATTTAGATCTTCGTTGATATCGCTATTGATAATGATTTGATTACCGTCTTGGTGTGTATTAACTGTCATTTGAGCCTATAAATTGAGATCCTTTGCTTTATACTTTTTTATTAGCCTTTTTTTTTTGTTTGCATAGATCACTTTCTAGCTGTGTTCCAGCTCTTACAATCCTTAGGTCAATTAATATTCATTTTTAAAAAGGTTCAGATACTCTAGTTGATCTCATTGGATGGAGTAATTCGGGGAAGAAGAATTGCTATTGTGTACAATTCTTTCAGCTTTTGTGATCAAAGCAGAGTCAGTATCATTTGAAAAATTTTGGTTCTGATCTTTTCTGTTATTTAAGTTCCATGGAAATCTTCCAAAGGACCATGATTACTGTGCAAAAAGTGTCCAGCTTCATAATCTTTGAGTATATCCACTGATATTTAAGGAAGTTCTAATCCTGTTTCTTCATTTTCTGAAAACTCAGTTCCCATTACTGTGGAAAGTTTTGCAGGTTTAGGACACATTGCTATCTGAAGAAATTTGGCTCAAATTCTTTTTCATTAATTTTATTTTCAAAGTATAGTTCCTAACTAAATGTAACCTATCCTTTTTTATTATTTTATTTTCAAAGTATAATACAAAATTTAGTGTCGCTGGTTGTCCTTTTACAGAAAGCTTCCACTGTGTTAATCTAGCTAGTTAAATAACTTAGCATGGAGGACTTGTTCCATTCATGATTCCATGCACCTAGTCATGGAGAAAATGCCATGTTTCTTCAAGGCTTAAATATTTTGGAATTTGAAAAAGTTCAGTTTAAATGGAGTGTACTTCCTGCATGGATAATCATACTGTGGAAAGGGTATTTTAGTTTCCATAAAATATCTTCACTTGAAACAAGTTTGGTTTCTAATCCTTTTAATGCAAATTTAATTCTAAAATATTGGTTTAAAAAACTACCCAGTATTGAAGAGACAATTTCTGCTTTTTCGATGTTCAAAGAATCCCATGTCTTTGAAGAGATACGGTTCAGATTCTCATTTTCTCTGTTGTTTATATTATCTCATTTGGTATTTTGTAGTTTTCAGCACTCATGAGTGTAGAGTTATCATGAAAAGTGTTTTTTTTGCATTCCTTGAGTGGATACCGTGTTCTTCTAATGGAATTTGCAATTTGTTTGAATCCAGTCCATTAACTGTATATTTTTAAAAGTTACTAATGTAGTTGTTTTAATCAATTAGAATTGAGAGAAGTGTTTTAGTTTATGCAGGATGTGGCCATCATTGTAAAACACGTTAAATACACCGTGGTCCTGTCCTTTCCTCCCTTCATAGCTTTGTTGAAGTGGGGAACTTTCTCAGTTTCTCCAATGCAGATTCTGCTCAAACCTTCTACCACCAACTATTTATTGTTTTTATTTTTTGGGGCAATATCATGAGGACGTTATCCTTTCATTAGAACTTTGTTGAAAAATGATCCCTTGGAGCAGAGAGAAGCATGACACTGTAGCCCAAACTTGTGCCATGGCTAAAAACTAATATCTTTACAAATGAAGCCAAAACTATTTAGATCAAACATTTATTATATTATTTATTGCAGCCAATTTTTCTACAATTGATTGCATCAATGCTGTTATTTATTCGCCAAGCATATTGGGGCAGATTATCATGATTATCTGCATAAAAAGATTTTATTTTTGCGTTCAGAATTTTCAGACACCTTGTATTGCATCCAAGAGGACAATTTGGCAGAAATATTCACCAATGTATCTCTGAAAGGTCATTTCTAGTGTTTAAGCAACTTTGATCCTTACCATGTTTCTCTTAGCTTGAGAAGAAGTATCTGCTGAAAAGATATGTCTATTACTTTATTCATGTACATTAGTCTTTGAACAGAATGCCTAGGAACTCCTATAAATATTTGGATTTATCCTGGTTTGCACTGGAATGTATACTTCATTATTTTTTAAATACATGCATTTGTATAATACTATGACATCCCATCTCTCATGAGTTACTTTTCTACATGAGGGAGCTATAAAGTAAAAGCTCAGGTACGGTACTGGTATTCAGCTACGTTGGGTTATAGATTTGGGTTAATATCCATTATTGATGCCTTACTTTGTATTACACGAGAAATAACATTTTCTATGGCATTGGTTTCACATGATAACTGGGGTTCCATTTATAGCTTTTCTTTATACTTGTTCTATGCATATTTCAGTCTTAAAGGCATTTTATTCTATGAACCATTGGTTCTTTAGTCACCTTCTTTCATCAATTCAAGCTTTGCTCTGCGATAAACTGAGAAAAATTATGAAATAGCGACAAGTTATTCGTGTCATTAGTTGATTCTGTCACCACCATCCTTTTTATAATTGCATTGTAGTGACTTGTCTTTGTGAAGAAGAGATTTGATGCTTCGGAGTTTGTGCTATCCCATTGTAGAGTTTTCTGGATGTAAAATATCAATTAGTTTGGGGTTGTTCACTGTTATATAACAGACCCATGCTTAAGGTATGAACCCATAGATGTCCTCATTGATATGTACTGAACTTCCAACTCTATTTTCTGTTTTAGCCATGTATATTATATGAGTGGGGATGCATGGAAAGAAGGAGGAATTGACGCAACAGGTAACCATAATTTGATACCTTGTTCATTCCTTCTGTTTTGGTCATTTACACAAGTTGCCAATGAAATTTTCTTACTCTTAGACTAGTTGTTTAAATAATAAAACATCAACAGGATTGATTCAAGAACATTTCGCATGGTGAAATTGATCAGATCGTCGGGAAAGTTGAGCTGGACAGTTTAGAATTGCACTGGAAATATCGTTTGCAGAATTGCAGTTATATAAAGAACTAATGAAGCATTGTGAGGGATCCTTGGATTTCGAGTCTATAGACTTGGGCAAATCAAATTGATTCCACATATTTCGCAATTTGAGATGCTGGAATTATATTGGCTTCTGCGCTATGCTGCTATTGGCTTGAGGCTTGTTTAACTGCCCATGCCCTTTCCCCATGAGACATTGATCTACCAAACCATTAAGAATTCAGAGTTCTTTGACAATGCCAAAATTGTAAATAATAAAGATGAGCTGAAAAAACTAGAAATGAAAAGATGAACAAAGACAAACTCGTCCCATGCTTTTCAAAGCAAAAAAGTGTTGTTATTAAGGTCATGCATATCACGAAAAAATTGAGAAGCAATTTGTGCATTTTCAGAAAGGTTAGGGAGTTTTTGGCTCTCTTCGAAATTAGAAAGATTATGAAAAGCTATAGGAGAAAATAAGAAGATGGTTGAAAAAGCAGTGCAAGGCTACAAAAGATAGGACTTTTTTCTTATGATTGGGGTTTTGCTTGTTCTAAAAGCATATTTGGTAATGCCATGTAAAATCCATACCATATTCACCCAAACTGGCATGCATTAGTACCTGATAGCAATAATACCCTTGAGAATGCCAACTGAAAAAAAAAAAAGGAAAACAAAGAAAAGAAAAAGAAATATACTCTTGATCATTGATTTGAATACATGGATGCTGATAGTTGTGGTGTTTCCTGTTCCTAATAGGGGCACTCATGGTGTTAACCCTGAAAGTCATTTCTTGCTCAATTAATTACAATGACGGTTTGCTGAAAGAAGAAGGCCTACGCGAGGCTCAGAAGAAATATCGATTGATCCAGTGCCCTTCCTTGATCGAATACATTGGCTACTGCCTTTGCTGTGGTAGTCACTTTGCTGGACCAGTTTATGAAATGAAGGAGTATCTGGAGTGGACAGAGAATACAGGGGTGGGTTCTCTTTCATCACTTTTATCATTTAGTTCTCCCTTATTGGTTGTTCGCGCTTTCTCTCACTAGTTATTTTATACTGATTTTCTTTATCCAATCTAGTATCTGACAATTGGTTTTCTATACACCTACTTATTCAGTGTTTGATTTTTTCTGTCATCAGATATGGAGTCCATCAGATAAGAGGCCACCACCATCACCATATGGTGCTGCCTTACAAGCTGTGCTTCAGTCTGCTGTCTGCATGGGGATCTACTTGTATTTGGTACCTCATTTTCCACTATCTCGGTTCTCCGAACCCATATATTATGAATGGGGATTCTGGAAAAGGTTGGGTTACCAATACATGTCAGGGTTTACTGCACGATGGAAGTACTACTTTATCTGGTCTATTTCTGAGGCTTCCATTATAATTTCGGGCCTGGGTTTTAGTGGTTGGTCAGATACTAATCCCCCAAAATCGCTATGGGAACGTGCAAAGAATGTTGATATTCTTGGTGTCGAATTTGCAAAGAGTGCAGCAGAGCTTCCCCTTGTGTGGAACATACAAGTCAGCACATGGCTGCGCTACTGTAAGTTTCCATAGATCAGTTTTAGTCAATATGTTGTTCCATTTTGTTGAGAGGTTTGTGAGACTACTATGTATGAGGTAATGACCATCTGATGAAGTGATAGCCAGTGATGGAGGGAGAGTGGGCACAACGAGAACAGGACATGACTCCATTAGTGGGTTCTACTCTCGATAGATCACCATCCATCATTTCATCAAATTGTCATGGATCCATCAGAGAACAGTTTTCCCCTATTTTCTTGGACTACAGTGTTGCTTTCTCTTGTTGACACGCACTCATTGTTGTGATGTTTGTTAGCCCACTCCAGTTCTGTGGATTTCAAATAATGTTGTCTTACAGGGCAAATAATTTATTTGGTGGCTTTTGTGATTTGTCAAGTGCATATGCAAATATTCTTTGGGTTGGGGTTTTGTCATTGGGCTGACGCACTTTTATTGATGTTGGTCATGGAAAATTCAATTTTCCAATTTCAAAAATGTTTTTCATAAGGTTTTGTGTATTTGATGTCCATTGATTTTAGAGTGGGATTACAAACTAACTTTCACAAAATAAAGAGAAGAAGGATTACAAACTTCAACTAAAGATAGGAAACCCCTTTCTATCTTAACCATAAAAAACCAGGAAACCCCTTTCTCTAATTTATTGTTGAGAAACTGCATATTCTCACAGAATGTAATTTTGGATCTCCAGTTTTGCCACTTTTCCCTTTATATTATTTCCTGGCTAATTGTGTTTCTTGATATTAGTTTTTTCATTTTATCTTAAATATTATTGTTTTCCTAACTATTACTTGCCCTACAAAGATGAAGTCTTTCTTTTCATTGCCATCCACTTTGAAATATTTCTTCTTGGTTGAGCTCTGTATAGTCTTAATTGTTATCATTCCAGCATTGTGGTGTGGCTATTCTATATTCTCCGAGAAGTTGAGATGTCTGTTTTAGGATATCAGTCCCTTTGTTCTTCTTACCAACCTATTTCTTGTTCTTGGAAGCTAATGGTAGATTTATTTCAGATGTGTATGAAAGACTCATTCAAAAAGGCAAGAAACCCGGATTTCTTCAGTTGTTGGCGACTCAGACAGTCAGTGCTGTTTGGCATGTGAGTAGAGAATGTTTTTGTATCTAAAAGTTGGTCATGAAGACCCGCTTTTCCAATCATTGTTATGCTTTTTAGCTTTTTTGAGACAGAGAGAGAGTCACAAGTTTTGTCACCTGTTTAGTCAGCCAATTGTGTCCCTTGGTCTAATTTATTACCTTTGCCGCTGTACTAATATGGCTGGATATGCAGGGATTATATGCCGGATACATTATTTTCTTTGTTCATTCAGCATTACTGATTGCCGGATCCAAAGGTACAAACCTTATATTGCTCAAGTCTCAAGACCCTTTTTTCATATTTAATTCTCAAAGGACTCTTTATCTTTATATTTAAGAAAAAAGGAATAGGGTGCCGCCTTGGGGACCCCATGATCCAAGTTGGGTTGCCGCTTCCGGCCCTCTGGGATCTCCCAATGCAAAATGAGGAAAAAAGATATGAGAATAAAAAATGAAAAATTGCCCACGACACTTAGGATTTTGGAATCGCCGAGTCCCAAAAGTCAACTGGGTGCTTCACTACAGCAAGCCACCTGGTTCTGGGCAACTCAAGGCGATTCCCCAATTCAGGATCATCCAGATCCGGGAATCCTCAGTGTCCGAACCTACTAGGGAGATTCCGAGTTGCTTCACCAATTTTTGGATGCTGCTTCATATTGATATAGATGAAGACCCTTCTTTCATATTACCGAAGTTGATCAGTGGAATTCTTTGTGTGCCTGCAGTAATTTATAGATGGCAGCAAGCATTCCCTCCAAAGATGGCTATGGTTGGGAAGGCCATGGCATTTTTGAACTTTGCCTATACGCTTCTGGTTCTAAATTACGCATGCATTGGTTTCCAGGTGAGTTCGCCTTCTCCCTTCACCTAGAAATTAGACTCTGAGGGTCACTGCCCTATTTGGAAGTAATGACCAATGAGTTACTGTTACAGGTTCATATTTAATTTGAGAGAGAGAGAGAGAGGGCATTTTCTCTTACATTACAGCTCAAAGACAAACTTGATTACGACTATGCCTCTTTGTGCGTGTGTGTGCGCACGTGAGCGTGAGCGTGTGTGTGTGAGAGAGAGAGAGGTGCTTTCTTTTAGTTTTCTTCTTATGAATTATATTTGAATTCACATGCTTGCATTTGATAGGTCTGTGATTTTAGTTCGAATCCAAACCTGATTGCATCTATCTATATGTATGGAGAGAGAGAGAGAGATTTCTTTTAGATTTTCCTCTCACTAATTATATTTCACATCATTTGATTGCATTTGATAGGTTACTGATTTTAGTTCAAAATTCAAATTCAAACTTGATTACAACCATCTTTAAGAGAGATTTCCATTTGATTTTTCAGCCTAGAGAGAGATTTTCATTTTGTTTTCTAGCTCAGAGAGGTTTTCATTTGATTTTCCAGCGTAGAGCGATTTCCATTTGATTATTTTTTAGCCTAAAGAGATAGATTTTCGTTTTATTTTCTAGCTGAGAGAGAGAGATTTTCATTTGGGTTGAGAGAGAGGGAGAGAGATTTTCATTGGGGTTGTGACAGAGGGAGATTTATATTTGGATTGAGAGAGGGAGAGAATTTCATTTGAGTTTCGAGCTACAAAATTACATTCTAATAGTTCCTTTCTTTTTGCATGAAGGTGTTAAGCATGCACGAGACGCTAGCTTCATATGGAAGTGTGTATTATATCGGCACAATTGTTCCCATCATATTAATCATATTGGGATCTCTCATAAAACCACCAAGGCCTTCAAAACAACAAGCTAGAAAAGATCAGTGAGAAAAAAAGTTGATGCCCCTTGCTTGATTTTGGTGTCCTTGTATTTTCTTTTTCCTTTTCTCAGCCTAAATCTCTCTGTAATTTTCATGTCCATCTGTTGTTGTCTATGGATAGATCAGAGAAAAACTCCTCGACATACTAGTGTTCCAATTTTGTTCATGAACGTTTTTTTTTTTTTTTAATAAGAAAGGACACAGTTAGACTACTAACTTTTGTCATAGAAAGGTCATTGTCGACACTTAGCTGTTAAATGTAGAAGCAGATTGTTGGAGTGTGGATTTAACCTGGCTCTAAGTTAAGAGAATTTATCTCATATTATGCAGGGAAATGAACACCCCAACTCTCCAGTTTTACATTTTTCAGTCTTGAAATCTCAAAAAAGAGAGAAAATAAACCATGAAATACGAACTAAACCACAAGGCATAAAAAAAAGAAAAAAGAAAAAGCGTAGTAGTGAAATGATTGGCCAAAATGAGTATTGGCCAAGAGGCTGAAATCTTGTCAAGTAATAAACCCTTACGGCACATTTAATTCTCGTGAAAATATTTTTTGGGTAATTTTTTCGTGTAAAAAAATTTCTCTCTTTTGGTTAGAGGTAGGGATATTTTTAGTTTCTTTATAGCAATTAGCTTTCAATTAGTGTGAAAAGATGTGTATTTTCACACCTAACTACATTAGGAAATTTTTTTACCTGAAAATATTTTCACGCGAATGAAAACGTGCCTTTATAGAGAAGTGATGCATGCATGAAGACAAATTCCAAGCAAGAAAAAAAATGACCACGTGAATTCTCCACAAAGAGAATGAATTGCAAGCAAGGAATGCTTTTTTTTTTTAGCAAATGGAGAACTTGACAAAGTGGATTCTTACTTTTTTAGCAAAGAGAAACCATAGGGTTTAATTGAGGCACCAATTCAAAAAAACGAAGACGCTCCAAATCTACCAAAACAGAAGTGAAAATGAACTAATTTATCATTAAAGTGATTATTTTTAAAAGATAATTTTATTCAAGTACCTTTTTAACTATTTTCACCAACCTTAATTAGTTGAGAAAAAGTTGCGACAATAATGATGACTTATTTAACAAATATTTGATATGTTGAGGTCATGTTGGAAAAACCGGGCAAAATAATCGGTAACAGCTCGATTAGATCGGAATCGGCTATTGTCTGGTTCCGGTTTCAGGTAGTTTTGATGATCGGCTGGTATTTAAAAAAAAAACAAAAAAAGATATAAAATCCAAAAAATAAAAAATTTGGTTTATAATATATTTTTTGATATTCTTATACATTATGGTAAAAATTAGAAATTGTTTGGTCATTGATATTCACTATGATATTTTTTCATTTTTTTTAGAAATTTTTTAAAATAAAAAAATGATTATAAAATCTATTTTTTTTTCAACTTCATTTGAATGTATTTTATGTAATCATTCTTTATATGTTTTTCATATTTTAATAGATTTTTTTTGTATTTTTTTTATTTTTTTCAATAATTTATTGACTGCCCGGGACTTGTCTGGTTAGAGCAATTGAAAAGCCGGTTTACCGGTTATGGCAGTTAAACGATTTCTGGCTTCGTATGCGGTTAACCGTTCCAGTTTGATTGTACGAACACTATATCGAGGTCTTGAAATATTAAGCAAGCATTTCGATAATTAAGTGGCCCGGATCAGATTGCATAAATACCTTTGCTTGGTGAGGAGTCCCATCTTGTTAACTGTTTCTTATCGAACTCTAAAACCACAACCAACCTTACTGCTCTTTTTCTACTCTTCCAATAGAGGTGTAAGCAGGGTAGGCCTAAGTAGATCCAAGCCAAGATTATGGAGCTAACAAGTATTAAATTTAGACTTGCCCCGGCCTGAAGTTATGTTAATGATGTCGTAACCGCCCATGTTGAGCCGTGTAGCTTGATTTAAGAAATTTATCAAAATACTTATAAGGGATTAATTATTTGACATTGTACCATATAGCTTGATTTAACAAATTTATCAATTTAAAAAATTTATCAAGATACTTATGCGAGATGAACTATTTAATGCTGTACCTATATAATTGATCTAATTTCAAAATATACACATGATCATGAGTTGGAACAATAAAAAAATATATAACATATTAAATAGTGGAATTTTTCTAAATTTAAAATTCATGGGGTATATTTAAAAAAAGTATAGAATGAGACCATTTACCTTTGGTACAAGGTGATCACAATGAATCTTAACTATTGGATGCAAAATTGGGTGGTTTCATGTCTTCCATTGACCAAGCTCAAACTTGAAAAAAAAAAAAATTTCGAACTTTATAACATATCCAAGATATCAAATTTCACATGGGATGGTTGTACACAATCCCATATATTTAATGGGCAAACTTTCTATGCTTCCCCTACAGCATAGAAGTTCTATCATCCCCCTTATCCAACCGTCCATTCTTAATGGATGGCTAAGATTGCCCAAACACAATGTCATGTCTCTACACTATTTTATTTTTAATTTTTTTTTTATAAACTATTTTGACACCATATTTTGGACATCCATTCATCTATTAAACTTGCACTAGAAAAAAATATAAAAAAACTATTTTCAATCAAATAAAGTGACCAAAATACCCTTGAAAGTTTCAAGGGGTATTTTGGTCATTATATTTTATCAAAAAATTCTTTTAAATATTTTTTTATATGTACGCCCCAATGAGAAGATGACATGTACCAAATTTCATTTCATAAAATTTATATTAAAAAATTAAAAGTAAAATACTTTGAGATATCGGATCTAAGATCAAACGGTAAACGGCTCTCTTGATCAAAATTGGAGGGCTGGATGGTAGGGGGAGGATAGAACTTCTATGCTATAGAGGAAGCATATAAACCTTTCCCATATGTATTTAAGAAACTCGGAAGAGGAGGTACTTAGATGAACTGTTTTACTTAAAATAATGACCTCTAATGAAATTTTGAACATCCTTGGCTTGTACAATGGTAAAAAAAAAGTGTTAAAAAACTATAATTAATTTAAATAAAAAAACCAAAATACCCTGCAAATTTCAAATTTCAAAGGTGTTTTGGTCTCTTTTTTTTTTCTTTTTTTAATTTTAATATTATTTTTAAAATATTTTTTAGGGTATAGTTTCTATAAGGTTGCAATCTTAAATAATCCAATTTAGGCACACTTTAAAATTTTATCATAACATGTAATTTTATTGTAAAAAAACTTAGTATTATCTTAAACTCTACTTTCATACTTAATTAGAAAACTTTAAAATTAAAAAATGGTTAAAAATTAAGTAAATTTATAAATATAAATATATAAAATTCTTAAAAATTACAAGATGCACTATTTTAGATACTTGAACTTTTTTTTCTTTTCGTATTCATACATATGGATGTAATTAATTAGAGAGTTTTTTCAACATTAAAACAACATTTCCGATAGAGTTTTTGAGGTGGATATGTGATTGTGCATTTTAAGGATGCAACCTTATTAAAACTATTCCCTTTTAATGTCCCTTTTAATAAGCTTTTACCAATTTATCCGGATATCAGTTCCATTTTTGCTGGTTGAATCTCTCACTGGAATGGCCACCCTATCCTTTAATTATTTGCAAAGGTGCCACCCCACCACCACACTGATCAAAACAAGCGGTTTGCTTTCTCGCTCTAAAAATGGGCTCTTCTCTCTAACCCACCCTTCTATCTTTTCATATTCTCTGTCTTTTCTCTCTTTGGAGCCCAAATGGCTCAGAAATTTTGCGGTCCATGCGGAAAACCCTAACAGGAATGTCGATAAACAGCAGCTCAATCTCTCTGTATTACGTTTCACACTGGGTAAGTGCCTCTGCTTCTGTGCTCTATTTCGTTTCTTGAAGTTTTCGACTGTTTTCTTGAGATGAGTCTGAATGGGGCTTTTCGGAGTTCAATTCTGAGTGATTTACTTACCCAAAAAAATTCTGAGTGGTTTTAATGAGAAATTCACATGGGTTTTCATAACAGTCTCTCAAATGAGGCTTTTGAAGCTTGAATTCTGGGAGATTCTCTCTCTGTCAGAGTTCAAATGAGGCTTTTGAAGCTTGAATTCTGAAATATTTTATGGGTTTTCATCTCTCTCTCTCTCTCTCTCTCTCTCTCTCTCTCCAAACAGGGCATTTGAAATTTGAATTCTTTGAGCGTTTAATGATAAATTCTCTTTAGTTTTCATAATCCAACAACCCTCCCCCAACCCCTCCCTCCTCCTCTCTCTATTATTTGGATGGTTTTCAATGGATTTGGAGATTTCTCGAGCTTCAATTTTTAGATGGTTTTTGTGGATGCGCCACCTCTGTTTTCGTGCAGGAATCCCTGGTTTTGATGAGTCCAATTTGCCCAGACTACTTGGCTCTGCATTTGGGTTTTTGCTGCTATTAAACCATTTTCTTGGCGTGAACTCTGTGACACCTGCACAGCTGGTAAGCGAAAAGATTAGAATCATGGGTCAAAACCCTCATTTAATTTTCTCTTGGAAAATTAATAAGAGCCCCATTCATTCATCCTCAATTCCTTATTCTTTTTTTCGTAGTTTTTATTGTTATTATGAAGTTGGAATGTATCCTCATAGTGACTCACCCTTATGAGCTAGTATGGATACTATTCAAAAGCATCCTAAGGAGAGAGTATATCTTACGTATCTTTGAAATCTGGCTTTGGCATTGTTGTTCATAATCATAATCGGCCTTTCTTTCACCGAAGTCCAACGTTTAGATAGTTTAAATGCCATAAATATGAAACTTGTCTTTTCTTTATCTTGTTGAGATGGTAATTTTGTTGTGGCAGAGATCAGAAGTTGTAGGCATCTGCTTGGCCGCCTTTTCAATCACTCTCCCTTATATCGGAAAGTTTCTGAAGGTACAAATAAGCCTAGAAACTGGCATGTTCCTGCTTTTAGTATTTTTCAATACTCTCTCTTTTTTTTCATCAAGTTCATGAATTAATAGGCTTTTGAAGTTAAAAAGGAAACGGAATTGATGTTATCTGGTTGCATTTATCAGCATTGTAAAAGTGTTTGTCAGGTAGCTTTATCGCTTTCTATTTCTTGAATTCATGTGTAAATTAACATATTTAGAGATTCTAGGATGGATTGACAGGTGATTCTCACTTAGTTGCTGGAACTATGCACTTGGGTACCATGCCCATTCCCAAAACTTGCACTCGATGGTAATTTCCAGGCAAATCGTGAAGAAATATTTCCTTTATATCTATTCCTTTGGTTTTCTGTTAATTATTCCTCCTTTTATGCATAATGTTTTGAAGTGGGTCTAGGATTCAAGCTCTAGCCTTTGATAACCCTTAGAAACTATACCATTCCCATTCCCAACACTAGCATTCCATAGTAATTACGAGGTTATTCCTCATGGAAATTGGTTTCTCCTTCTGTTTCTTTTTTCATTAGGCCCTCTTTTAAGTTAGATTAATCCTTTGATGAATTTGTATATTAATCTAGGCTTCTAGCTTTAGAACTTATTAATCATTACCTATTTTTCTGGCTGTATGGTTTGAACTGATGAATTAGGTTGTTTTCATTTCAGCTTATAGTGTTAATTCTTGTGCAGGGCGCCAATCCAGTGGAGCGCCAATCCCTGCCAGAAGGGAACCAGCAGATATTTATTCTGCCAGAAAGTGTATCGGATACTGTAAAGGAGGATTTGGCTTGGGTATCATATGTCTTGCTTCGGAATACGAACACCATATCGGTGGTAAACCTCTATAGCTGGAAATAAAAAACAATTCAATCAAGACAATTATAAAACGTTTTGTAAGAGTATCATTTGTATTAATTGGGACTTCAATCAATGCTTTGAAATAAAACAATCAAAAAGGAAAAAAATTGTTTTGAAAGTTAAAAAAATAAAAGAAAAAGAGAAAAAGTGAGTAGAGAAAGGAAATATAGATGAGATACCTTAATATGGTGTTGTTGATATGGTGGTGTTGTTGATATGTTTAAAAAGAGTTTTTCTTAATTTTATCTTGTAACGATTGTGATTCTTAGGATATTGGCTGCTTCCCCTTAATCTAAATTTTTATGTTCTTATCTTTCTCTCTTGGTGATGTTCTCTGACAGCTCATCTATGTCAATGATGCACTCTGCGTTCGTGGATACTGGAATACTCCACCAGATGCATCGAAAGCTCAACAAACCAAATGGTTCAAGGAAAACATCGAACAGATAGGATTTGCCAGCTTGAATGAGGCACTATATTTCCCCCAAATGAGAGGTTTAAACTCATTCTTCGGCTCTTAGATTTTTGTTCAGTTATCTAAATAAGGACAGTGAAATTAGTTTTAGTTTGATTATGCTAAAATGTATTTTAGTTTTATATTGTTCTTGGATCTTTAGTCGGGATGCATTTTGTTCTTGGTCTACAGTCTGTGTAGAAAGGTTTTCTCTCGCTCATGTCTAGGAATGGAATTCAGGCTTTTTTATGGCTGATTTTGCAGAATCAGATCTTCAGAATATGTTACCAAAGGGAGCAGTTTCAGTGTTGGTAGAACCAGTGCTTGGAGTTCCTGAGAATTCGAAGCCATCACAAGGGTTCCTCTTGTTGGCATCAAGTATGGGCTATGCATATCTAGAGAGAGATAGGGCTTGGATAAGAGCCTTGGCAAACAAATTCAGAACCCGTGAGAGAAAGCCAGGAAATAGCTAAAGGGATGAGGTCAACACTCATGCCATTCTATTCATGCATAACAAGAGAGAGAGAGAGAGAGAGAGAGAGGAGGAGTAGTGTCTACAGTACGGTCGTAGTACGTCCTCCGTCCGACCAACAACGAAAGGAAGGTAAGAAACGTAACTTAACGTAAGTACTTTCCTTT